AAATTACAACAGAGAGAGGCAGTAACCAGAGCTCTGAGAGCACCCAGAATGAAAAAGCATCCATTAGAAATAAAAAATCGAAGAGGAATAGACTATCCAAGCAACTTGTCTGAGATTTTGTTCATTCAGCATCCACTCCTTGAGGAAGTGTGGTGCTCCAGGCAGGGTAGCATAATGATTGACATTTGGGCTCTGAGTTCAAATTCCTATTCTGCTTCTTGCTAGCTCTTTGATCTTGGGAAATTAAACTCTGAGCCTCACTTTTCTGTAGAATGTGGATAATAGTGCTTTATCATAGAGCTCTTGCAAAGGTCAGTGGATACTTAGAACAATGCCTGGTGCATATCAGGCATCCAGTAAAGGGTCATGGTGGCGGTGGTGGTCATGATCACTATCATTGTCATTAGTAGGAAGTGCAACAAGACAGACTCCAACTGCTCTTCCCCCATAGAAATTAGTTTGCTCCGATGGCTCATGTGGGAGAGTCCCATAGATGTTGGGAGCAGATTCAGGGAGAGAAGATGGTTGCCCAGTCACCAGTTGGTTCCCATCCCCCAGCACTCATTAGATTAAGAACTACTTGGAGCCGTTCCTGGCAGTCGGTGCTGGATAGAGTTGAATGACTTGGTCCTACCTCCTAGGAGCCTGCCTCTAAAATCCCTCCACTGTATCTAACACATGAATCTGGAATTCCTTCTGCAGTTCACTCCAGTTATTGATCAGAATCTGTTCTAGGGGTTTCAGTAATTCATTCTCTGGGCTCCAGCTCTTTTTTCTAAGCTCTGCTCTCAGGAAGCACCCCCTCCCTTTATTCATCATAATTTAAAAATGCATCCAGATGTTGAGAACTCTTGCCTACCCAAGATCAGAAGTGGCAGGAACCTTCAATATTCTCATTTTTTTTTCTCTTCAAAGAACAATAGTTCACCAAAGCCCCCTCAATCAAAGTAAATTATTACCATGACTTGTGGTGAAAATTACTTAGGGCCACAGGTTAGCATAATCTTGCAGGTAATAATCATTGAGAAAGTAGAAATTTTGAACCAAACTCTCAACTTCTGTTGTTCTGTTGCCCCAACGATGGGATTTATCAGGTGTGGTAAGAATCACAATTAAATCATTAAACGCTAAGTGTCTTTGTGATTTGATGGGATCTGTAATTGGGGATCTTTAGATTGCCTATGTGGGACACCACTTAAAAATTAACATTCCTTGGAAGATTTTGTATTGACCGTTTTTGTGTGTGATCAAATGCCATGTGGTTCTTCAGGTCACCCTGGAAAAGTCATGAGATACAGTTCTGATAGAATGGAGACTTAATCTCCTCATGCCATCTTCATCTTTGTTGTACAAAAGTGCAGAAGTTTCCCTAATGTAACTTTTATTGGAGGCTGTTTTGTATTTTGACGACATCGTATTTCTGTATCGCACCCTCCGATTTTCATTGTTGTTTTTTGGGGGTTCCCAACCCCCCACCCCCCCACATCTGCCTCTACCTTGTACAAAAACTCCTTTGCACTCTTCACAGCATCCAGCTGTGTGTGGGGTGTGTGTGTGTGTGTGTATAAATAAATGCTTTACGTGGAGAATATCTTTGTTTTGTTACTAAGTCAAATGCAGCAAGAAAGAACAAATCTCTAATTTGTGAATTATTCTTACATTTCTTCAAGCCTGATCGTTTCATTATTGAGTTTAAACTTTCCATCTAAAGGACAGTTTGCTTTTACATGAGGTTTTTACTTCAGAAACGATGGTTGTATCCACTGAGGATTCTTAACAATTCAGATTTGAAGGCCTAAGTCTGCTTGTCCTGGATTCAACAGCTTGCTGAGATGCAGCAAATAAATGCAACACATGGTCTTAGGTGGCACCAATTAAAGAAGAGTGAAAAGCATAAAGCAGTTTTAGAAGAGGTCAAGCACCCTTAGAAATAGGAATCCGCCTTTGTTCATGCAACCTGAGGGATTTGAAAATAATTTTAAAAATCAATTTAAACATGTAGGCCACCTGGCTTTTCTTAGTTTGTTCCTCTCCTTCAGATGTGGTGCTATGGAGCCAGGAAAGCAGTTTTCCCCCATTGGGAACCCCAGGCCAAAAAACTTCTGGAAGTGTCTGTGGCAGCTTGAATGCTGCTATTTAAGAGCTGATGAAGAGGCAGCTTGGAGAAAACCTCAAAAATAAATACTCTGATTCATCACTGTTGTGCAGGCTGCCCAGCCCTGAGCGCCAGCCCAGGGCTTCTGAGACAAAGGGTAACATTCAGCGCCGAGCAGGCTCAGCCCGAGTCGGGAGCCCTGACTGTCAGTGAGGGGGCGGAGAGGGAGGCAGCTGGCGGCAGAACCCGGATGGGGCTGGGCGCTTGAAGGCAAAGGACAGCAAGTGCTGGGTTTTTGCTTCATGGGGGGGCGGGGGGGGGAGAGGAATAATCTGAAGGTGGAGGTCTTCTGAGCCCAGGGACTGTCTCCTAAATAATCCAGAGCGGTGGGTTGGGTAGCTGCTGCAGTGCGGGGGCAGCCATTCACAGTGGCCCCTGGAGGGGTGTCTCGGGGGGTCCTGCAAGCCCCGGGCACCCCAGCGCTTGGCAAAGGCCACAGTGGTGGTTGGGGAGGGGGAGCTCAGCTAGAACATCTGGATTTTTACTGACAGCTTGGAGTCAGCGATGGAATGTTAGAGACCAGCATCAGATCCCCAGCTCTGCCTCCTCCCACCCCTGCCTTCCCTTCTCTGCGTTTGTATTTGTCCCGAGCTATAAAAAAGACGGCCAACCTCCCTCGTGGAGTTTGATGGTGATGGTGTAGGACATGTGTGCCGTCAACAGTCATTATTAATACACGCTGGTCCATCACTAGATCTGATGCTCACCAGGTGGATTGCTTTGTGCATTTCCCTCTAAACCCTCAGAGCCTCTGTCTTGTCTTCCCGGCCCCATCCCACCCTGATCCCACCCCGCTGTGGGGAAGGGCCAGAGGAGGAGAGGCACATGCAGGGCAGGAACACTCCACGGAGAGAGTGGCTCTTGGTCATGTCCCCCACCTGTCTCCTCTGGCCATCACAGTGCTAGCTATAGGGGAACATGAAGGTTTGGAATGGACTCCAGTGGAGTCTGGCTTATTCTTTGTCATAGTTCTAGTAAGAAAGCTTGATGAATAAAGATGCAACAGTGAGGGTGTTCTTTAAAAAAACAAAACAAAACAAAACAAAAAAACTAGATTTTAACCTGCCGTGCACTGTTTTTGCATTGCAGAGATAAGAGCTGCGGATGAGAATTTTGTAAGAAGGTCTTATAGAACGTGCTTCCGCTGCCAGCTCCCACCCAACCCCCTCAGCTTGGGCTCCTGTCTCTCCTGTCCTTAAAAGGGACGATGAACTTTTGCAGATGCAGAGCCGAGGGACACCAAAAGATTTTGAAGGCTTAGCTCCTCTTGTTTTTTTCTTCTGTGGCTTAAATTAATGTCTGCAACAGATAAAAAGCAGGTAACTGGGATTCAGGGCTCGTTTACCCTTTTGGAGTTGGATGTGGAGGAAAAATTCCTACCCTCCAAACAGAGGCAAATCTGGAGGCAGCAGGTGACAGCTGCAGTTTTGAGAGTAGGAATTACATGCGCAAAGTGGAGCTGACTTCCAATCCGCAGCTCCTAGCTCTTCGGAAGCATGCACAGCTCTGCGTGCCTGCTGAATACAAAAGCCACAAAGGGAGGCGGCTAATTATGTTGAAAATTAAGGAAAAATATTGCCACTTTATACCACACTTACATACTTATTCTGGGGGTTGCAGAAAATGCCCTGTAAAAATGTATAATTATGTTTAAAACTCTTGAGTCTTAAGATTTTCCATCAACGTGTGTTTCTCAGCTATCAAATACCAAAGCCCTAAGCTTGTATGAGCCCCTGAAACATTTTTGAGTCCCACAGCAGATTTTTATAGATAGTTGGACCACATTTGTTCTTTCTGAGCCTGATAATAAGCCACTATGTGGAATCCCATAGTGGGAGTTTAGTAGCAGGCATTTATAGTGACCCTAAGCTCGTATTGCAATTATTACGGTCTGTATAAAGCCACAGGGGAAAAAAGTCATTTCAGGCTTTTAAAACTTCCTAGTCAATGTTTAAAGAGTTGATACAGAGTGGACTAAGCCAAACATTTTTTTCCTAACCTTAAAATTACTACAGAGGGGTTATAAGAAACTGTTCTGTATCTGCGTTAAAAATAGAATGCTTTTTTTTTTTTTAATTCCTTTTGGTTATACCTAGGTTTTCCATGATACAGTTTGTGGTTAATTAACTCAGGTCACATTTATTAGCATTACTATGTGCAAACGCTTCATGCTAGTTTCCGTGGACAAACTGGAGTGGTACTTAGTCTAAAAAGCTTCCTGTGTGTGAATGGGAAATGGGCAACTGGTTAACCATAAGCTTGCTGTAATTGAGCCGGAGGGCAGAAGGTCCCACGTGACTAGTACTGAGTATCATGGAGATGAGGCAGGGAGGGACTCTTTCTGTCCAAAGGGGGCAGCTTAGGAAAGAGAACAGGTAGGAAAGATCTTGGAAGATGGTGCAGTAAGACTTGGATGAGGGGTGCTGTGGTGTCAAGGGGAAGGGCAGAACATTCTGGGCAGAGGCACCGTGTTACAAAGTGAGAGGACTATTCAGAAACCAATAGCTGGGCAGGATTCCACGGCAGAGCCCTGTGGTACACACGGAGGGATGGAAAGTAAGTGGGAGCCAATTGGGACTTGACCATCATGGGCCATTATGTACTAAGCATCGTTTTATTTTCCTTGGGAAATATCATCATGCTATTAAATGATAAAGTACAAATTAATTGTATTTTTTATTTCATTGAATTAAAATTACATTGTTTGACAGGTCATTTTATTCTGGCATGTGCAGGTAATTTTCTCCAAATGGGGATACCATTTTAAAGATAGACTTCGATGAGTCAATGAGGTCTTTTCAAATAAATTACTCAGAAAATGTAATAGTTCTAAAATACCTTGGAGTTATAACTCAAGTCAATTATTGTTTCATCCAATTAAAGTTGAATTATGCTGCTGCTCTCACACAATTTCCAAAGGTACACACTTCCATCATTTCTACTCTTGTTTTATAATCAGTAATAAAATGTTTAATACAATATGCTTGATTTAGCATCTGACATATTACAAACTCTGCCTCCTAAATGGTCATCTGATGGTTTCCTAGGATGGCAGGTTTCTGGGCAGTGAATGGGGCTGAAAATATTTATATGAAATACAATTTGGGAGGAGTTTCCTTAAAACAGTTCAGGTGTCCCAATTGAACATTCAAAAGAACGCCAGTGTTTCTTGGCTTCCTGGCATTCCTTAAACACCATGTGCCTCTTCTTCTTTTTTTTCTTTAATTTTTTATTGTTATGTTAATCACCATACATTACATTATTAGTTTTTGATGTAGTGTTCCATGATTCATTGTTTGTGCATAACACCCAATGCTCCACACAGAACGTGCCCTCTTTAATACCCATCACTAGGCTAACCCATTCCCCTACCCTCCTCCCCTCTAGAACCCTCAGTTTGTTTTTCAGAGTCCATCGTCTCTCATGGTTCGTCACCCCCTTTGATTTCCCCCCCTTCATTCTTCCCCTCCTGCTATCTTCTTTTTTTTTTCTTAACATATATTGCATTATTTGTCTCAGAGGTATAGATCTGCGACCCAACAGTCTTGCACAATTCACAGCGCTCACCATAGCACATACCCTCCCCCCAATGTCCATCACCCAGCCACCCCATCCCTCCCACCCCCCACCACTCCAGCAACCCTCAGTTTGTTTCCTGAAATTAAGAATTCCTCATATCAGTGAGGTCATATGATACATGTCTTTCTCTGATTGACTTATTTCACTCAACATAACACCCTCCAGTTCCAACCATGTCATTGCAAATGTGTGCCTCTTCTTTCTTGCTCTTCTCACCAAAACGCCGCTCATTTTCTTATTTGTAGAATAAGAAACCATAAGATATTAAAATATAGAAGTTACTGTGAGGTTAGGCTTTTGATGATATCAACTCTTACTTGAGACTAAAGAGTCCATGAGTTCCAGCTTGTCTACTAGTATTAACATGAGATGACAAAGCGCGATGCAGAAGTCAGACTGGGACAACATTGGATGTTAGCAATCAGCCCATGCTCCTAACTCTGCAGGAAATGCCAACACCCAAAGTCCATTACCCCAAACAAGCCCATCCTCTGGTTTTCTCTGTTAAATATCAGAAGTAGAAAATGAGGGACGGGCAAATGGTAGACTCATTGAGAAGAGGACTAAATTTCGGCAGGCCCAATACTTATACAGAAACAAGACTGCTCCACGGCACTTAGTGTAGGAACAAAAGCCCTATCTAGCTCACTGTCCCATTGCTGTGGATCAGAATGCCAGGAACACTGGTTTGTGGTCATTATGGTAACTGAGAAAACATTCAATTAAAATTAGGGTACTTAAAATACATTTCAGAAATATTCATGCATTTGCTTAAAAAAAACTTGGTACATAAAAATATCTAATTATACAGAAAATGTGGACATTTACTTACAAGAGTTACTTTGTTATATAGTACGTTAGGTCTTCTTTATTAAAAAAAAATAATTTCCAGTATAATTTGTTTAAATTATCACAACTGCCCTAAGCAGGTTACTATGACATTCTCCATTTTACAGGTGAAAGTGGTTAACTGTTTGCTCAAGTTTACATGATTTGAGTTTTTCAACAAGTATTGATTGGTTGCCGAACATATTTTTGGGCTTAAGCAAATGAAAGATTTTTCCTGTTTTGCTTTCAAAAATGTTGCTCTATTTGTCAGTGCTCCAAGAGTTAAATATAAAGAATTTATCTACAATACTGTACATCTTTAAATTTAAGAAAAAATATTCATATCCATGTATTGAGACTTTTATTTTATATCCTGTTATGCTTTCCTTTGTCCAAGTTCCTAGTGTTTTACATCTCTAGCTGGTGATTGCCAGAGCTAAAATATAGGAAGAATTAATTTTAAAAAATGGTTTAAGCATCCCAGGCTCTGTCAATGTCAGTTTGCTTGGTGTTGCTGGCTATGTTTAAGGAAAAAAAGTGAAGCAAAACTTTGTAATGGCATATACAACAAAGGGGAGAGCATTTTAAAATCTGATCATTCTAGGAATCACAGTATGGAAGGTGTCCTGAGGAATCCTAATATTCAACAGATTCTGGTGGAAAATATGAATTAATCAATGTATAATGTCACCTGAAAAAAATGCACCATATTCACTCTTACCTTAAATTGTATTTTGTATAATACCTTATTTAGATGTGTTAATTTTTCTCTGAAATCTACTTTGCCTGATGTTAATATAGCCACTCTAGCCATCTTTTGATTGTTAACATGCTATGTCACTTTCTATTCTTTTATCTGTTTTTAAATTCCAAGTATGTTTCATGTTGAGAGCATATAGTTTGGTGTTAGCTTTTTTTTTTTTTAAGATTTATTTATTTTAGAGAGCGAGCACACAAGCAGGGGGAGGGGCAGGAGAGGGAGAGAATCTCAAGCAGGCTCTGACTCGGTGCAGGACTCCTGATCCCACCACCCCGAGATCATGACCCAAGCTGAAATTGAGTCGGATGCTCCGCTGACTGAGCTTCCAGGTGCCCCTGGTGTTATCTTTTTATCCACTGTGACAAGCTTTGCCTTTTAATTGGAGTCTTTATACCATTTACGTGTAATGGGAGTAACATTAATTCACATTTGATCACTATCATCCTTTCTGTGATGGTGCATTCTGTTCATTTTCCTTCTTTCCTATGTTTTTTGGGGATAATAGAGTACTTTTAAACTATTGTAATTTACTTCCTGACGGGTTTATTAGCTGTTTATTAGTTTCTTAGGGCTCTCATATAAACTACCAAGAACTGAGTGTCTTAAATTTATTTTTCTCATAGTTTTTAGACTTAAAAGTCCAAAATTAAGGTGTTGGTGGGGTCATGCTCCCTCTGAAGACTTTAAGGAAGAATTCTTCCTTTGTTTCTTCCTCATTTGTTAGTTGCTGGCAATCCATGGTGTTCCTTAGCTTATAACTGCATCACTCCATTTTCTGCCTCTGTCTTCACATAGTCATCCCCCATATGTATGTGTCTGTCTCCAAATCTACCTCTCCCTATAAAGACATTAGTGATTGGATTTAGGGCCCACCCTAATTCAGTATGTCTTCATCTTAACTTGATTATGTCTTCATCTTAACTTGATTATGTCTTCAAGACCCTATTTCTTAGTAAGGTCACATTCACATGTACTTGGGGTTAAGACTTTGATGTATGTTTTTTGGGGGATATAGTTCAACCCACAACCTTAGCTATACCTCTTTGATTTTGTTTATTAGTGGTTGCTTAGGGTTTATGATATCTATCCTTAACCAGTCCTTCTACCTTCCAGTAACACATCACATATAGTGTAAGCCCCTTATAACAGTTTACTTCCATTTCCCCTCATTTCTAGTCAAGCATCAAGTGCTGTGCTTAAAATTCTATAGGTAATGGGGATTAAGAGTACAGGTATCATGATGAGCATAGAATAATGCATAGAATTGTTGAATCACTATATTGTATGCCTGAAACCAATAACGCTGGGTGTTATCTATACTAGAATTAAAAACTTAAAAAACCTTATAGCATCTCTTCCATATCTGTCCTCCCTATATTCTCACTACTACTAAGGTAAGCCCATTGTTATTTCTTGTCCCAGGTCTTCAGGAATCTTGTTTCATCAGTTTACCATGGCGTTCTGTGATCTTGCCTCTCCTTACCTTTCTGCATTCATTTCTCACTTAGTTACTGTTTTTCTCCAAATGTGACAGGATGTGTCACATCTCTGTACCTTTGCTCACACTGAGCCTTGAACACTCTTCTGCCCACCTTATCTACCTGTCAAGCAGTTATTTCCTTTTCAAAACCTACATAAGTCTTTCCTCCTCTGAACCATCCAGTGGAGCCAGCGGTGGCCTTCTGTGGATGATGCATACCCCAGTCCTAGTGCCTGCTACTTTCCACTGCCCAGTTTGTTGCCCCCTTTCCAAGAGGGGATAGACCTTGTAAGAGTCCTCTGTCTCTTAGCAGCTAAGACAGCACCAGACCTCCTAATCCTTTCTAAGTAAATGTACACTGAAAATTAGGAATTGATGGCTGGTTTCACTCTTCCCTACTCCTTACTGAAAATTATGTGCAAACAACGAAATTTATGCTTGGCAGGTGTTATTACTTCTGTCCACCCTAAGTTTTGTCCATTCAGTGTTGAGTCATTTTGGTCGTTTCAAAGAGTGAAAGACATGGATATATTTTCCAGATGCATAACAAATACGGTGATTTCCACACTGATGTTGGAAATTATGAACCCCTAATACCACAAATTTGACTTGAATATTTCCATTAGCACATGATTTTTCAGAAGCAGAGAAATTATCTTAAGGTATTTTATTCCAATGCATCAAAGCTCTTAACAGAAAGATTATGCAAACATCTTTTAGGTAATTCTGACTAATAACATTGAAAGACATTAATGATGATTTGCAGCTGCTTCAAATTTAGTGAAACATGTCACCCTGCTCTTAGGCCTGTCCACAAATCCCAAGTCATTGTTCAAGCATGAGAATGTTGCAAGGGGTTTTTCCTGATTAGAGAAACCAAACCAATTCTAGCTGTAATAGTGGATCCGCAGCCTGAGCGAACTTGCTGCTGCCTTTTGTACAAGGAGACTCCCTTGAAGTTATTGGTAGAAGAGTATGTTATGAAGCAAAAACTATGGCTACTTACATTTCTCATTAGTCATGAAACCAACAAAAAATATACTGAAATGAAGGACAGGCTCCCACTGAGCCTCACAGGGATGATTCAGCCAGTACAGGTGAGGGTGTTTCTCCTCAATACTCTTTGCCCCTTGGTAGGACTGTTTCCTGTCCTTCTCCAGAAAAGGATTTATACTGGTGGAGGGATCTACTGTTAGCAAAGTTCAGCAAC